GCGGGCTCAGGCAGTCCACTCACCTCAGCCTCCCAAAGGCGCGGGATTACAGGCTGAGCCACCAAGCCCGGCTAATCTACAACCTTTATCTGTACAAAGGATACAAACAGTTCACTGGTTATAACTGTTATATATAACAAAGAATCTTTTGAACCATTAAAACAAACGTTACAAAAAAGTGCTTTCTTAACTGTAGGGACATGGGGTCAAAGTCTCTCTCCAAGCTGCTAAGGATCAAGTTCAGGTTCAGAGTGCAGACAGAGCTCCCACGGGGCAGACAGAAGACGTGGTTATCTTTCTCTACTCCTTGCCATTTGTGGTAAACTGCCAAATGCATGTGTCTTTCTTGGTTCAGGGAGAACACACCATTCAAACAGCATGAGTCCCCTCTGCTGAGATGGCAAGGTGGGCTTAGTGAGCTGGGAAAGACACAGACTTTCGAAACATCCGAAATCCCTTTGCGAGTCCAGGATACGGCGGTGGTGGCGAGATGCTGTGTTTCCTGGTGTGTGCCACTGCTTGTTCGTAAGAAGGCAGTCCTGCATCCTCCACAGAGGGGGGTGAGGGACACAGGACGGCCTCCTCATGTCTTCGGAAGATGACGGAGGGAGCGTGCCTGCCCCTCCTCACGTAGACGGCTGGGGAGCTAGACACAGAGACAGCAGTTAGGTCTCAGAGAGTGGCATTTGTAGGGGAAGACAGCAATATTTAAAAATCCAAGCAGCTATCTTGATAAGCAGCCAACACAATTTATTAATACAACAACAGTTAAATTTTACCCCACTCTCCGAAAGAATCTTGTGATGGTGGAAAGACCTGGAGCTTTGAAGTCAGACATGGCTGGGAACCTGTTCCTGTCATTTCATAACCATGGGACCAACGGCAAGTGACCTAACTTCGTGTCCACGCTCTAAAATGCGGTTTAGGACAGCTACCTCAGTGGAGGTGTCTTGTGTGGACTGAGTGAGATGTTCTGTGGAAAGCTTCTTGCAGCATACTTGGACTCAAAATATTTGAGCCCAGGCCTGGTGGTTTACATCTGTAATTCCAGCATTTTGGGAGGCCGAGGTGGGGGGGATCACCTAAGCCCAAGAGTTCAAGACCAGCCTAGGCAACACAGCAAGAATTTGTCTCGAGAAAAAAGTTTTTAAAAAACGAGGAGGGCTTGGTGGTGCCTGCCCGTAATCCCAGCTACTTGGGAGGCTGAGGTGAGCCGTGATCGTGACCTAGTGAGACCTTGACTCAAAACACAAAGCAAATTCCCTTTCTCCCTCCTGTGAACTCGAACTTTCTCGAAGTATGATGTGGCGCTGTTTGACAGTGGCACAACCCCATGCCAAGGAAGCAGATCCACAGAGATCATCATGGCCGCAAACGCCGGTCCCCCTCCCTACTCCCTTCAGCTGTCCTGCAGCCTGGTCGCCCCTTCCTCAACAGTATTTCCTTCAAGCTCTTGTCCACAGAAGTCTCACTTGCAGCCTCCTTTCCCCTGAGCTGGGTTGGAGCTCCTGGGCCTCCTTTCCAAGCCTCCTCAGTCTGGCCTCGCCTTGTCTTTCATGGTTCCCTGCTCTTCCCAAGGCGGGCTGCCAACACTCCCCTGCGTGCACAGTGAGTTCTCAGGCCCTCTTCCCTTCTCGAAATACTATCTTCTCCCTCCACTGATCTAAGGCCAACAATTGAAAAAACGCAGCTTAGCTCAAGTACCACCATGTTCACAAAACCTTGTCAGCAAGTTGAAATGCAGCCTGGCTCTTTTTTTTTTGAGTTGGAGTCTCACTCCATCACCCAGACTGGAGTGCAGTGGCCGCT